ATATCTCTAGGTGGCGGGCGCCAAGCTTGCCCAGGAAGGTACATGAGGCCAATGGGGATTGAACCCAAGACCTCCTGAATGCCACTTGCGTGCCTTACCAACTGAGCTATACAACCTACGTCCGACGAAAAAGTCGCCGCTTGTCCTTCGGGACATCCGGTAAAATGGGAACGATACACAGAAAGAAGATTAGCAGGACCCCTGCGCAAGGATGCCGCGCATACATCGAGAAAAAGTCCCCGCTTTCTGGATAAACAAATATCAAGAGCATACCTTTCTCGGCCTTCTGGCTAAGATCAAGTGCAATGTATCTGTTCTGATCAGTTTAATATCTGATCCGTGGTCCATCGGACCACACGGTATGAAATTATTTTTTCTGGGCCACGGAGCGGTCGTACGGGTAAGCTTGCTTACTCGAAGAAGAAAAAAAAATCAAGAGTGCGACTCCCGGCCATGGAAGCCTTGTCGGCCCGGCAACAGACAGACCAACAAAAGGCACTGGAACAAAAGATTGGGGAAGGGATATGGCGCTGCACGTTTCGGGCACGCGCTAGCATTAAAGGGAAAGCGGCACTACCACACAAAAAAAAAACTCGAAAGATCGACGAAACATAACTCTATACCTGTAAGAAGAAGGTACATGCGAAAATCGACGAGCGACAGCCGCAGCGATCAGCTCCAGTCCGACATATTGCTTCGCACACATTCATCGCGTTCTTCGTCACCTGGACCCCTTTCTCTTTTCCACGTGCCCATCCTTTGTCACAAATTCGCCATCCCTTCCCATATCACATCATCATAAAAGGAAAATCATGCATCCAGAGGGCGGTCACATCCCTTCGATTCAACACATGAAGAATGCACAAGCATCAGCGGGAAAGGGCCATGTGGAGAGAGAGAGAGAGAGAGAGAGAGAGAGAGAGAGAGAGAGAGATCCCTTCCCATATCACATCATCATAAAAGGAAAATCATACATCCAAAGGGCGATCACATCCCTTCGATTCAACACATGAAGAAAGCACAAGCATCAGCGGGAAAGGGCGGGAAAGGGGCATGTCGAGAGAGAGAGAGAGAGAGAGAGAGAGAGAGAGGGGTTGTAGGAGATGCAATCGAGGTGGAAGGAAAGCAGAAGTAGCAGGAGAGAGAGAGAGAGAGAGAGAGAGAGAGAGAGTGGTTTTAGGAGATGCAATCGAGGTGGAAGGAAAGCAGACGCAGAAGGAGAAGCAGAAGCAGAAGCAGAAGCAGAAGGAGAAGCAGAAGCAGAAGCAAACCAAGGCAGAGTAATACACGTGATAACGAACCGGAATGAATGAAATGAATGGATTGCGAAGCAGCAGTTGTATTACCGAACTAATCAGGAAATGTGACCGAAAGCTTTTTCGAGGGGGTGCTTCCGATCTTCGTACTCCTGCACATCGAGGAGGTGGTTCTTGTTCTGCTCCCACCATGCGTGGGCATTATGCAAGACCAGGGTCATCCTCTCCCTCTCCTTGTCGTCCACGACCAGTCTGATTCGCCCCTCCAATCGTCGGATGCAATCGATCAATTCCCACCTGGCCTTCGATTTATCCACGTCAGCCTGATCTTGTTCAGCCATCTTAGAAGCCACCTTGACGGCACTCCGCGCCTGCGCCGCATTGAGACGACCCCAGTTCCCGCCAAAAGACTTGGACGCCGATCGCCCGGTCGTTGTGTCCCTCAAGGTAGCCGTTAGAATCCCGTCCTCGTCGATCTCCAGGATCGCTTCCAAGGGTATTTTTTCCATGCCGCTGCCAGGTGGGCCCGGCTGAAGCCCCTCTAGGACGACCTTCCCTAACAAATTGTTCTCGTCCGACTTGGCGCGCTCTCCCTCGTACACCCACACGAATGCCAACGTGTCGCCATAAGCCGACTCCCAGAAATCCTGCACGACACGTGTCGGGTAGGGAGTGTTCCGCTCGATGGCGCGATGAAACTCTCCCTGCTCGGAGCCGAACCCGAGAGTCACCGGGACCACCTCCACCACGGCCAGATCCATCACATCCATCTGCACCTGGCCGGTTATCAGCGCCGCCTGTATGGTGGCGCCATAGGCGACACATTCATCGGGATGAATGACCTTACAGAGAACGTCTTCGCCGAAAACGTCGGCCAGCATTTTTTGAATTTTGGGCATTCGCATCGATCCTCCCGCCAAAATCACCTTCGTGATTTCCGATTTGTCGGTTTCCGCGCCTGCCAGCGCCCTCTCGACGACCTTGACCACGTTTTTGAAAATGGGATCGCAGAGCTCTTCCAACGTGGCGCGGGACATCTCCATTTTGAAATCCGCGTCGGCGCAAACTGCGTCCACGACCAGGGAGGCGTTTTTGCTAAACGACAAAGCGTGCTTGATCTTCTCGCATCTGCTGCGGATCCGCCGGATCGCGCGGGGATTGTTCCGCACGTGCAGTCCCGGAAACTGGCGCTCAAATTCCTCCGCGAAATAGAGGACCATGGCGTCGTCGATGTCGTGCCCACCGAGACTGGTGTCCCCCGCCACGCCGATGACCGAGAACTGCCGCCTCCCCACTCTCATGATGGACACGTCCAGCGTCCCGCCTCCCCAGTCAACGACCATGACCGTTTTTGGCGGGCCCGCGTGGTCGAGGTGATTGCCGTTGGTGGCCGCTGCCGCCGCGCCGCTGAGGGCGGCGACGGCGGCGGCGGTGGGCGATCCCCGGCCTTCCTCGTCGATGTCCACGTTGACCTCGCGCTCCGCCTCGTCTTCCCACGCGGAGGCGCCCGTGCGCATCGCGTACGCCAGCGCCGCCGCCGATGGCTCCGTTATCAGTCTGATGACGTTGAGCCCCGCCAAGCGCGCCGCCTCCTTGGTCACGAATTTCTGCACTTGGGAGAAATTGGCGGGAACCGCGACCACCGCGTGCGTCACCGGACAGTCTAAATAGGCTTCGGCGATCTCCTTCATCTTCTTAAGAATGAGCGAGGAGATCTCTTCCGGTGCGTACAACCGCTTCTCGCCTTGCTGCTGCACTTCGATCATGCACCCCGCGCCGCCGTCTGGCCGCCTTACCAGCGTGTAAGGCCAGAGCAACGTACCCACCGCCTCGTTCTGCTGCTCGCTGTCCACTTCGTCGAACCGACGACCGACCCATCTCTTCACCTGAAACACGGTGTTGGCGGAGTTAATGGCCGCCTGATTCTTCGCCGTGTCCCCTACCAGTACGCCGCCGTCCTCCGTGAATGCCACGCAGGACGGAGTCGTTAATTGCCCGTGATCGTTGTGGATGATCTCCACGTGGCCGTTGTTCCACACGCCCACACAGCTGTTCGTCGTCCCCAGGTCTATCCCGATAACCGGGCCTTCGGACAATCTCGAAGCGTATTGGCGCGCTCTGCGACTTCCTTTCCCCGTCGGTGTTGCCGACGAGGAGATGGACTTTCCCTGGCCTTCTCGTTCTTTGGATGGGGAGACGTGATCGTTACGTCTTTGTCTTGTAGGTGTTACGTCGTCCTGGCGTGTCGTCACTGCACATGACGACCGGGATCGGGATGGAGATTGAGATGGCGATAGGTTTAGAGATGGCGATAGGTTTAGAGATGGTGAGATAGGAGCGATGGCGGTGGGTACAACAGGAGAGACAGCCTTTGCCGCAGCTGTCTTCCTCCTCCTAATCGTCCTCGGAGAGGTGGTCGAGACAGTAGCCACTCTACTGGTTGATGCCGGAGTATCGTCTTCTTGTCTAATTCTTGATCCGTGAGGGACGTCAGCTTGTGCCCCGTCGGGGAACGTCGACGCGTTTGATGATCCTGGCGAGGACAAGCCGGACCGATCTTGGGCTGCCACCGCAGACTTGTTTCTGTCCCCCCTGTCCCCTTTCCCTGTGTCCCGAGGCGTCCGATGCGACGAGGCTTGCGAAGCCGTCGATGGAGATCGACATTTGTCCGACTTGTCCGATGGCACGAACCGTGTTGGCGGAGATGATAAAACTGTCTTCCCCGCTCGCTGCTGCGGTCGCGGCGAGATCGTCTTTGGTTTTGCCACCGAACGCTGCGACCGCGGCGAGGTCGTGCTTTGCTTTTTCATACAGCAACCCGACTGGTCTCCATCACCACTGCACTGATTTCCCATGATTACCGGTCCAGTTTCCTATTGATTGATTGATTAAATAATTGATTGATGGATTGACTGATTGATAGAATGATTAATTGACTGATTGATTGACTGATTGATCGATTGACTGACTGATTTTGACGATCGATCGATGGATTGATTGATGAACTGATTGATCGATGGATTAATTGATGAACTGATTGATGGATTGGTCAATTGATTGATTGGTCAATTGACTGAGATTGATTGAGATTGATTGAGATTGATTGAGATTGATTGAGATGGAGATTGATTGATTGATTGACTGATTGGTTGATTGATT